TGGTTTGTTGATGATTTACATGGTTCGTGTCCATATTTTGATTTATGTATTTAGACCTAATTAGGTATCTGTAAATTTGCAATTTTGGTTCGGGTTGGTTTCTTTCGGGTACAAATCCATATTTAATATACCTGAAAAAGACCTGTAATATTTGGTAGATAACGGGTCCAGATCGATTCAGATATTTAATACCCGAAAAAGAATTGAAACCCAAAACCAAAAAAATACACAACACAAAAACATACCCAATAACTCCAAAATACCCAAAAATATTCAAATATCTAAAATTTTACCTGAAATCTTATCCGAGGAACTGAAAGTACCTAAAATTTTATTTGAAATACTTAAAATATACTTTAAACTTTGAAATTGTACCTGAAACCCGAAACTATAACCGGGAACAAAAACCTGATAATTAAAAACATCCGTAATATCGCAACCATATTTAAAAATATTCAAATATACCTAATATACTAAAACTATTTTGGATATTTTTGGATACACGAACGGGTCTTAGGTAAGACATGGAAATAGGTTAGCTGTTAAAACCAGGTTATCAACTGGATACAGAATGAGAGTGTGGGGTATTAGGAAAGATTGTGTCTTTTGTGTAGAGAGGGATGAGATCAGAGACAATCTATTTTTTTGCTTGCCCTTACTCGTACTTAGTATAATGGGTTGAAGTGGCTACAATGCGAATTGGACTAGGCATCAATCCAGATTGGCAGGATACTCTTACGTTTATTCAGGATGGAGAGCGCTGTCACATGGACAGTACTCTTTGACGCCTTGATTTTCAGACCATTGTCTATCATATCTGCAGGGAGTACAATTCCCGTTGGCATCACAGTGATACTCAGAGTGTAGCACAACTCATTCGGCTCATTGGCAAAGCTATTCAAATCAGAATTATTTCGCTTTGGTACCGGTCACCACACAGATTGGAAGGACTCATGAGAAGATGGTTTGAAATCATGAGAGATTAGAGTAAATTTTGATTTTGGATGTGGACTAAGCACAAGATCAATTTAAATTAAAGTAAACTAAATGTTTTGAAATGCCATTAAGATTGATGTGATTTTTTCATATGCTAACCCGCCCGTAGGACGGGCATAATACTAGTTACTTCTAAAATCAACATTCGTTATACTAAAACTGCTTTTTGCTTTTTGACAGTTTTCACAGGAGCATAATTAATGATAATGGTATATATAGTTTATATCAACATTTTTGAAGCTGGTTATTATATTACTCTCTGTAAATCCGTCCATGTATGATTCAAATAAGTTTACATTGATATAAAAGCATTTCATCTTAAGGTTTGCAATCATATTTTAACATATATTTTCAGCAACAATACAACTGAACACCAGTTTTTCCAAAAATCATTATCACACTACATCAACATAACTTATATCTCAGCCCAAAAAATTGGGATTTATTCAGTCAGACAGTAATTTATTCAAATTTTAAATATTTCATATAGACATTAAATTTATCAGTTAACAAAGCACATGATGTACAAATAGGGTTTAACATGGTTTAAGTGGACTTCTAATAGAAATAAATATTCATATAAACTCATTTAGTTTAACAGATTTTAAACAGGATTCAATTAAAAATAGTTATTAAATGTGATTTTACTTAAGGTTAGTGAAGACCATATTAACCCATTTACATGTATATATATACATGTATATTTAACACAATATATTAAAAAAGAATTTCAAAAATTTTGTTCATTTTTCGTTTTGGGTTGGATTTGATATTGGTTTCGGATATAGTATTGTTATAAATATTCGAGTATATAGACCAGATCTAATCGAATATGTGACTTTGATTTTCAGTTTGATTTGAGTCTGTTTTTTTGAGTACGGGTATTGTTGACTATTTATGATAGGTAACTACTAAGAAAATATAATATGTTGTAAATCTTAAGAATAAAGTTTAAAAATAATTTTTGAAATATATATGAAACAAGTGTATAGTGATGTAACTTAACGTATTTAATATAGTTACTAAAATTATATAAAATTAAATTAATATTAAACACAAATATGATTACAATAAATAACACAAATATAAATTAAAATTTTCAAAAGAAATTAAAACAAAAATATACCCACCCTTTTGAAAGAGAAGGTCAGGATCTAGTTATAGAATATACTTAAACTAAAAGTTGGTAACTCCATCCACAACCCCTAAATATTAAACCTTACCCTTAAATATTAAACCCAAAACTTTAATCACTAAAAATAAACTCAAATATATACTTAAATCATCAAAATCTCGGGATTCACCATTATACCAGTATAAGTCTTAATAAACATCCATCTCTTATATGTTTTTTTTTTAAATTATCAAGGTTCCTTTGTGTAATTTATATTCAAATTAAATGCACGATTAAATTTATGAAGCATGTACTTTCTACCAAGAACCATAAGGTCTCTAAGAGTACACTTGGATTTAAATGACATGTTCTTCAAGTTTACCAACAACCTCAAAATTACTATAACTACTAGCTTCATTCCTACCATAATTCTCGACATATTGAAACCAAGTATAATATTGTGGCGTAAATCTTCTATTTACTAAATGGTTTAATACAATATTACTATGAAAAAAAATGTAGTCTTGCACTTCCGACAAATACATAACGTCTTGCCAGTTTCTAACGTGATCGGTACACTACTAGCCCAGTACATGACCATCTCTAGACCTTTGAGAGATTCCCCTTGTCATCCTTCCGTTAGAATCTTTGTACATATACATCCAACTTAATGTTTCATAGATATTACCCTCATATGCCTTCTTTTGTTTTCTTACTTCAAATTTTGTTGTTTTTTTTTAAATTTTGTTTGTGTTTCGTTTTTGAGAAAATGACATGTATATTGAAATTTGTTTTGCTTGGTATGTCAGAACTTATCAACAAATTAACAACCAAAAGTGTTTTGCAGGACTTTTACATGAACATAACATTTCATTTATAACAAATTATGTTTAGTATAATTCCTAATCATACATAACAAACCCAATATTTTCTAACTTATACTCATTCATTTGTCATTAATTAATTGTAAAATAGTTTGTCATAAATTACTCATTAGTTAACATTGAGTTTAGGACGGTTAGTTTCAGGTGTCGTTAAATCATCATAACTTAACATCGATTTAACGATGAAATATTTTTGTTGGTAACTTACAACAATGTTATGAAACAATTGTTGTAATTCATCAGTTTTTTTCATAAATTTCTTGTTAGTTCATGACGACACATTTTCATTGTAACTTTTTGTCGCACGTTTCTTACCTAATTTTAATTTTTAGTTTATTTAATATGAATATATATATATATATAAATAAAAGTTGAAGAATACGAAAGATCATTTGCCATCTTTTATCATAACAAAATTTGTGTACTTTATAAAAATAAAAATATAATAAATAAATATTATAATAAATTATTTTAAAGTTATGTGTAAATTATATTTAAAACCCCAAACATGAACCAATAAATTGTAGGCAGATCAAAGAAACTGTGCTTTAGATTTCCTCACTACAAGGTAAAACTATCACTGAAAAGTACAAGAGCAAAGAATAACTTTGTCTGTGTAATTTCCACACTGAGAGATTAGATAATGGCACACAAATACCAAATCTCGAATCCGGCAAAAGGTACAATCGAAAAATCCAAGATGAAAAAAATTATAAGGTTTTAGCTTTAAGATAATGATAATAAATAAAAAATAATATAGATATTCAAAATTCTGGTAATGAAATCAAAACCGACTGAAACTCATAAAAAGGCTTTAACTTAAAAAACTACAATGTAATCAAATGTTTAACCAAGTTCAATTCAATAATTAAACCCTAAACATAAGGTAGAAGATTTTAAACCCTAAACATAAGGTAGAAGATTTTAAACCCTAAGCATTTTTTCTTTACTTGGTGCCTTCAGGATTGTTGTCAGCATTAAAATCATTGGTTGTCTTCAATGATTCTTCTGTTGCTTTCTTCTCAGCTTCATGAGAACTGGTTATGGATTTTAGAGAGATTACTTTCCGGGAAGATCTTTTAGTCTTCTCTACATTTTCCTCAGTTTCAAGGTCAGGAAGATCACCCAATCGCGACATTGATTTTTCCACAAGGAGGTCAATTTCATGTTGTACTTCAACATCATAATCCTTATCAGTCAACTTACGCAGCTTCTTCTCATCAGTATCATACACCTTTCGCACTATAAAACCAGGGTTCTGTTTGCGTTTCGGAAGTTGCTTATGAGCTGGAACGAAATACACCACACATCTATGCATCACAGATTCTGCATCGGCCTCATCACAATGGAAACTGTAGAACACTTCTCGTGTATCATTTGCTACCCAATTTCCACCACCCTTTTTTTCTGCTTCTTCTGGGCGATAAAACCACTGTACCATAATCATCATGCGTCCATCATTTCTTTGGGTTATATCCTACCAAAAAGAAAGTCTTACTTCGAAGAACATGTAAGCATATACAAAATAGCACGTAGACAAGTACCTTGATAAAGGCAACATAAGGCTTTTCACTATCAGGTTGTGGATTCAAGAGCACTGAATCCTCCTGTGCAAGAAATTAAAGGAATGTCAGAGAGGCAAATGGACTCTAAGAATTAAGGGAAAGGATGATGTAATACGAAAAAACTTAAAGTCTACTGACCAAATAAAAAGAGCAGCTATGGCTAATATATTCTTACACAGAAATCAAAGTCCCTTCAAAACCGTAGATTCAACGATGTAATAACCAACAAGTAATTGAACAAGGTGCACTCGTAACCCATAATAATGCATCAATCTAGTCAAAACAACTCACCAGATGGTATCTGTTACCACCATACTCGAACTGCCTGTAATGGATTATTCTCTCTTTGCCTTTACCCGTAACTTTAACCGGCTCACCAACCGGTTTCACGCCATGGCTCTTCTCTCCTGCTTCCTTTCTCTCCTCATCCTCTTGATTTCTCTCCTTCTCTTCCTCGTCGTCGTCAGACTCTTGGTACACCATCTTACGCTTCCTCCTCTTTCCATCCATTTTTTCCTCAAAACTCGTTGAGTTCCGTTCCTGAGACCTCGTCTCCAGTACAAAGTTCTCTTCGCCGTCACTCGAGGGCACCTGAGCGAGACTCCGAGACAACGCCATCTTTTTTCCTCCCTGTGTAAAAAAGAGAATGGAGAAAATTAATAAGATATGATAGAACATGTAGTAATCTTATACACGTGTAAAAAAAGAGAATGGAGAACATATTCACACACCTTCTTTGGAATGAACATAATCTTGTATCTCACCACCTCTCACTAAACTCAAATTTTATATAGAGAGATTACTTTCTTTACTTTTTGGTTTTNATTTGATATCTTAAAAACAAAAATAAAATTGGGAAAAGAACTAAAAATCAAATATAATCAGTGAACTACTATGTTTGTACATAGATACTAGGTAATAATCTTGGCTTTGCGTGGAATAATATTATTAATTCATTATTTCTTAGATAAGAAGATATTATGTCTGTTAAATCTGGATATCGGTTCAGTTTAAGATTATTTTAAATATTTTAATCTATTAAAATATATTTACTATTCTTAATCAATATTTATTTTCTTTATTAAGTTAAAAATTAAAATGCTTGAGGTTTTTAGATTGTTAATGATAACCAAAATCTGTTATTATTTGTTTGGTTCGTATTAAATGAATTTTAAACAGTCACGATGTCAAACCAATGATTTTATATTATAATTTATAAATGCATGAAAAATCAAATAAAATCTAGATAATAATTTAAAAAAGTAAAAAAAAAATTATTAAGACAATTCATTTCATTACAAATTGGTCGATGGTAAATCGAAACTTTAAAAATAATATTTTAACTTCCACGAGAATTAGAATCCTCACTTGTAGTGAATATTTAGTTACATAGATACTCACGTCAATGTGCATATATATGTTGGGTCGGCAAAATATCTGTAAATTTTGATTCGATTCATCATCCTTTTCGATTCGAACAAAAATCTGGATATGTGTAACTTGACAAAGAAAAACAAATACTAATATAAAATATTCGTAAAAAATGAAGAAAATAATAAATACTAATGTTTTAAAAATGAATATTTGATCCAATTCATTATATGCTTATATATATATATATATTTATTTAATGAAGTATATATATAGTTTATATAAAAAATTATTCTATATAAATTTTAAAATATTTTTATTTAGTAATATTAAATTAGGTATTAGTATTTAAAAATTAAATAAGTATTTGTAAAAAAAAATTTAGATTATTATCTATTTTAATTTCTTCATTTATTTTTACAGATCGAAATCGGTTAAAATATTTTTTTTTGGGGATAGCGTATATCTGAATGGCTATGAATCAAATCGAAGTGGATAAATGTAATGTGAACACATTAAATGACAATGTTTCTCCTTTAATATATAGAAGATTACTCAGTATCGAAATTATTGAAGGATTAAATAGCTTGCATAAAGTTGAATCAAGAATTTTGTATTTTTCAAAATTGAAAGATAATCACTATATTATGATATATACTTTAATGGGTTATGTGAATTTAATAGTTTTTCTAAAATATATATATATATAAATTATATTAATAAAATATTAGGTGGTTTTCAAGTGCTCCGTACATATATAAATTTTAACAAAGTAATTACATTATAATATTTAATAATATTTTGCTTTTATTTTTAATTATTTTGTAATTTATATTGTAATGAATAGTTATAGTTTATATTTAAATAAAATTATGTTATTTTATTTTTTTTCATCAATATAAACAGACTCATACTGACTCTGCAAACCAAACCGGTACCCCTGCATCCATGTAAACGACGAAAGCCGGTTGTTTCCTGGCACTGCGTGCTAAGCTATTCGCCTGTAAATTCTGCATTCGTGGTACATGAATAAACTCTGAGTTGAAAAAATTTTCCTTCAGAATCTTAATATCTTTCAACTAATTTGTAAAAGCTGGTCATTCTTTTGGTTCCAAAACCATCTTCACTAACTAAGAACAATCTGTTGCAAATGTATCCTAGAACTGACGCAAGTTTCTCATACACTCCATTGCCCATATTAGCCGTTCCACCTCTGAGTAAAGAGGTGAGAGACCAGCCCTAAAGTTTCTTGCTCCCATCAGTCCAGTAAACCCCTCTAGAGTATTGTACCACCCTTGTCCGAAAAACATTCTTTCTCTTTCCTGTAAAGCACAATTCCCCTGGAATTGATGGTAGGTCAATAACCTCCATCGGTTGTGCTGCCCTCTGTATATTCAGCACTTGAGCCTTTGTCCAGAAAGTTGACTCTCTTTCTGATAATTTCAGCGTGTCCCTTGGATCCATATCCAAATTACTAAGGGTTTTGTTATTCATCCCTTCCAAATATACCAAAGTATCCGAGCAAAATGATGATTAACCATTTGTGGGAGGATTCTCCAAAAAAGATGATCCAAATTTGTGAACAAAGAACTAGTGGAGAAAATATATGGAATTGTTGGTATTTTTAGTAAGCTCAGACCTGGCGCGCTGGAAGACATTCAAAAAGCACATGGTTTATTGATTCCTCTTCATCTCCGCATCTAGCACAACATATATCCCCTTGTATCCCTCTCGCTTTCATATTTTTCTTAACAAGTATACACCCTGATACCAATTGCCATAAACATGTTTTATCTTTGGTGGACATCTTACCTTCTAGTAGAAGGCTTTCAGTATATCAACCGTGGGTACAAAAACTGTTGGTTTTTCTTTATCTGGTTAAACCCGTTCTACATGGTAGCCTGATTTGACTGTGTATTTCCCATTATTAGTGAAGTGTCATCTATCCTTGTCCGCCATCCGATTCTTGTTCAGTGGTATGTTAGTGAATGAATGATAGAATAGAGAATATTCGAGGCAGTTAGATCAATCATACTATTTGACGGTAAGAGTACACACATCATTATCAACTGCCTTCTCTATTGTTTTTGCCTTCTCCATTGTTTGGTATTGAGTGTTGTCAAGATTCATTATACACAAAGGCGGGCAGTCTAATACGTAGTGTCAGGAAGCAAACGTCATTTGTTGTTCATGTGGATGTCGAGTCACCAGTTTGGTTCACAGAGTCTGTTTAGAGTCTGTTTTATGTTGATGATAAAAAAAAAATTAAATATGGATGATTAGTAAACGAATGAACACCATTAAAATAAAGAGATGAATTAGGAAGGGATATCGATTCACTATACTGAAAATATAAGTATATAATTGGTTAAAATGTACATTATTAAGAAGGGATCTCGATTAATTATATAAGAAATATTTAGAAAGAGAAACTTCCTTGAGAAGAATCAACAAATAATTTAAACATTCTAGTTAACGATATTTTCAAGTATATTAAAGAAATTTCTGTGTCTAGCATTCCTTATTTAGCATATTATCTTTTATAAAATATTTACTTGGTGATTTAGTTTAGTATATTTTGAATCAAAATGTATACCATCTTTTGGTGTATACCATATTTCACACTAACCCCTAAAATAAACCACAAACTTTTGAAACCTAAACCCTAAAATAAAACTAAACGACAAAAACATAAACCTTAATGCACAGAATATGTAACTTTGACATGATAATCAGATATTGACAATTTTTTGTAACAAAAATTTTTTTTTTAACAAACAATATCATATATTCTTAAAACCATATAAAATGTAATATTTGTATATACAACAGGGTATCAAATTTTGTGTATCAAACAATATCAAATTTTGTGTATCAATTCAATTTCAAAATTTTGTTCCCGGTTATAGTTTCGGGTTTCGGTTATATTTTACCTGAAATCTTACCTGAGGAACTGAAAGTACCTAAAATTTTATTTGAATACTTAAAATATACTTTAAACTTTGAAATTGTACACGAAACCCGAAACTATAACCGGGAACAAAAACCTGATAATTAAAATCATCTGTAATATCGCAAACATATTTAAAATACTCAAATATACCTAATATACTAAAAATATTTTGGATACTTTTGGATACACGATCGGGTCTCGGGTAAGACATGGAAATAGGTTAGTTGTTCAAACCAGGTTATCAACTGGAGACAGAATGAGAGTGTGGGATATTAGGCAAGATTGTGTCTTTTGTGGAGAGAGGGATGAGACCAGAGACCATCTATTTTTTTGCTTGCCCTTACTCGTACTTACTATGGGTTGAAGTGGCTACAATGCTAATTGGACCAGGAATCAATCCAAATTGGCAGGATACTCTTACATTTATTCAGGATGGAGTGCGCTGTCACATGGACAGTACTCTTCTTCGCCTTGATTTTCATACCATTGTCTTTCATATCTGGAGGGAGTGCAATTGTCGTAGGCATCACAGTGGTACTCAGAGTGTAGCACAACTCATTCGGCTCATTGGCAAAGCTATTCAAAACAGAATTATTTCCCTTTGGTACCGGTCACCACACAGATTGGAAGGAATCATGAGAAGATGGTTTGAAATCATGAGAGATGGTTTGAAATCATGAGAGATTAGAGTAAATTTTGATTTCGGATGTGGACTAAGCAACTGTTATTTTTCTTCTGATTCTTTAATTCTTTGGTATATAAGTTCATAAATGATCAACAAAAAAGACAAAGAAAGAGACTTGCGGGTCCAAAAAATATCCAATAGTTACCTTGCTCTGGATCCAGACCAAACCCAAATCTGCATTTTTTTGGTTGGTTCGGTTCAGTTTTTTGGGTCTGAGTAAAATGATCATTTTAAAATGATTATTTTGAGAGAATTACATAAAATTGTACATACAAATCTCAAATAAATTAATTCATAAATTGTATAATTTTAAAAAATTCTCTTTTTCGTCATAATACGACTTTTTAACATAATAATGTAGAACAATCAAAATATACTGTTTATATCAAAATTTATTTATAATCCAAAATATTATGTGTTTCAAAAACACGATTCAAAATCTAGTATTCCTTATAAATTGCGTCATATGAAGAGGAATTAACTATTTTTACTCATTCATTTGTCACCATTTAGACTCCAATAAAAACAGAAAGCGAATTAATAACTTTGATAAAGAGATCCAAGATGGGTGTGTATATTGAATAATTTACTTACCTTTCTTGTATAAGA